CACGTCGCCTCCCTCCTCGTTCTGTCGACTCTTCCTCGTCACGTCTCCTCCTTCCTCGCCACGGTGGCTCTTCCTGGTGAGGACACACCTGTGCCTCCTCTTCTTCCACACCTGTAGGAACGTCTTCCCACAGTCATCACAGCTCGGCAGTTTCTCGCTGGCGTGGACTTTGGTTCTGGGCTTGTGGAGGCGCCTCTCTCTGGTCCTGGTCTGGTTCCTGGTCTGGGCACTAGTCTTGGTCTGGTTCTCAGGCTCCCTCTTCTGCTTCTGGGCAGTGCGGTGAGTCTGGACGTGGAGCTTCATGTTCTCTGTGGCATCGAAGTGTTCACCGTCCTGCAGGTGAGCCTTGAGGTGGCGGAACAAGAACTGGCGGGCCTTGAAGGTGCGGCTGCAGACCCTGCAGCTGAACCCCGCTCCTTGCATTCTCTTTGGGATGAGCCGGGTCGAGGCAGACCCAGGATCAGGTGAGTCTCTGCTGTAGTCGTCGCTGTCTTCGGTCTCTGATGAGACCAGCTGGACCTCCTGATCTGGACCTGCTGGTTTCAGCCGGGCGGTCCCGATAGCAGCAGGGTCCGCAGTCTCACCTGGTCTCCGGGGGTTGTAGGTGAACTGGATTATGTCGGTCTCGTCCAGGACCTGAAGCTGGTCTTCAGCACAGACGGGTTCTTCAGGGTTCTCCTGGTCCTGCTGCTCATTCCTGCTGAGCAGCTGCTGCGTGAAGGCGTCTGAAACACACACAGAGGAGTTCATCAGTCTACGATCAAGATCCAGATCCAGGACCCCACACTGTACCCTGACCTGTACATCCTGGGAGATGTATTGATCCACTGATATGAACTGACGTCTCTCTTTATTGATGCAAAGTGAAAGATTAATGTCCTCGTCTTTCAGATTGACGTTTATTTTGAAATTTGAATTACTCGTCTGTGTCATCTCTTTTCATGCCGCTGCCCATCGTGGACGACACAAACTGAGACTGACAGGCTAGCATGGACAGTTAGCATGGTCAGCTAGCATGGACTGTTAGCATGGACAGCTAGCATGGTCCGTTAGCATGGACACCTTGCACGGTCAGTTAGCGTGGACTGTTAGCATGGTCAGCTAGCATGGACTGTTAGCATGGTCAGCTAGCATGGGCAGCTAGCATGGACTGTTAGCATGGTCCGTTAGCATGGACACCTTGCACGGCCAGTTAGCATGGACACCTTGCATGTTCAGTTAGCATGGACTGTTACCATGGTCAGTTAGCATGGACACCTTGCATGGTCAGTTAGCATGGACTGTTAGCATGGATAGCTAGTCTGCACGTCCTGGGAGATGTATTGATCCACTGATATGAACTGACGTCTCTCTTTATTGATGCAAAGTGAAACCAAAGATGAATGTCCTCGTCTTTCAGATTGACGTTTATTTTGAAATTTGAATTACTCGTCTGTGTCATCTCTTTTCATGCCGCTGTCCATTGTGGATGACACAAACTGAGACAGGCTAGCATGGACAGTTAGCATGGGCAGCTAGCATGGACAGTTAGCATGGTCAGCTAGCATGGACTGTTAGCATGGACAGCTAGCATGCGCAGTTAGCATGGACACCTTGCATGGTCAGTTAGCATAGACACCTTGCATGGACTGCTAGCATGGACAGCTAGCATGGACTGTTAGCATGGTCAGCTAGCATGGACTGTTAGCATGATCCGTTAGCATGGACTGCTAGCATGGACAGCTAGCATGGACTGTTAGCATGGACTGTTAGCATGGATAGCTAGCATGGTCAGTTAACATGGACTCCTTGCATGGTCAGTTAGCATGGACACCTTGCATGGTCAGTTAGCATGGACTGTTAGCATGGATAGCTAGCATGGTCAGTTAACATGGACACCTTGCATGGTCAGTTAGCATGGACACCTTGCATGGTCAGTTAGCATGGACTGTTAGCATGGATAGCTAGCATGGTCAGTTAACATGGACACCTTGCATGGTCAGTTAGCATGGACACCTTGCATGGTCAGTCAGCATTGTCAGTTAGCATGGACACCTTGCATGGTCAGTTAGCATGGACTGGTAGCATGGACTGTTAGCATGGTCAGTTAACATGGACACCTTGCATGGTCAGTTAGCATGGACACCTTGCATGGTCAGTCAGCATTGTCAGTTAGCATGGACAGCTAGCATGGTCAGTTAGCATGGACACCTTGCATGGTCAGTACGCATGAACTGTTAGCATGGACACTGTGCCGCTTGAAACTGACGAGGTGCATGTCCACACGCTTACTGGCGGCCGCATCCTAAAGACCTGTGTGACTTTTCCACTAATTATTATTTTATAATTATTCATCTTAATACTGTACCTGAAGTTATATTTGAGCAAAAAGGAAAATATTTCTTAATCTGTGTCACTGTTTGTGTGTGTTTGTTTGTTTGTTTGAGATGATTATTGAAATGCTGGTTGTATCTTCATTAAAATGTTCTAATAAAGCAAAGATAGAAAATATTGCAGTATCTTGGGTGCTGTAAAGTGGTTTGAAAAAAAAAATGAAATCGGAATCGGCCCAAAAAATTGTAATCAGTCTAGTTGCTAATAATAAAGGCTTCTTGGAGGCATCCATCTTTGTTTACGTTAGGTCGTAAATGGTACAAACGCAAACGGGACGCACACCGCCAATTTAAACAGGAAGTTACGACATTTTACGACATCATCTTCAGTCTGATCGCTCGTAGCAACGTAAATGGATCACAGCATTACACTGAGGCCCCCTGACGTCACCCTGTAGCTCCGCCCCTGCCCCTCAGAACAAGGTGACTCAGAGGCTGTCCACACCAATGCAGGTATTTATATAACCGTGACTCTTTTCTCACGGTTTGGCCTTTCATCCATACGTAACCGCAGTTTTGGGCCCCTGTAACCGGAGTTATTTGTAACCGGAGTCCAGGGTGAACTTTTTGGAAAAGTCCGGTGTCAGTAGTCATGTGTGGACAGGATAACCACAGTTACTTTGTCTCGTCTCCATTGTATGACATCACAGTGTGCGACGTAAACAGAAAACAGCTGTGTTATTACACGATCCAGTGTGTGCGAGAGACGATTTGAGGATGGACCTAAACAAAATACTGCTGCTATTTAGCAGCATATCAGCACTTTGTGGCTGTATCATACAACTAACGCTACTCAACCACATCCAGCAACTGAGGCACAAGAGTGTGCTATTACGGAGACTGCTCCTGCTGCATAATAGTACGCTTGTTGTTGTTTTTCCGGTAATGACGTTTTACTGCCTTCTGATTGGCTACAATGGCCTTACAGTTAGGAGTTATATCGCCACCTACTGCTTTGGCATGTGTATTACATTGCTTGATAGTGGAATTTGCGGTGTCATGTGGACGGAGGTATTTTTATTACACCGCTTGTATGGACGCAGATTTTTTTAAAAATTGTGTGTGTGTGGGGGGGGGGGGGGGGGGGGGGGGGGGGGGGGGGGGGGGGGGCATCAATGCTTTTTACTGAACTAGATAGAGTAATTGCATACATGTAACCACTTACTCCCTGGAACTAATAATGCAATCAGAATTCAAGTAAGACCTTATCGTGTCCCAAAGTCCCTCCAGGCCTGGATCTAACTGGTTTAATGTAGCCGCTGCTCCTTCCATACCGACCAGCTCGATAAATTCTTCCAGCCGACTGGTTAGACTAAAACAAGATGGGCTTCGAATCTTCCAGTTCATGACAATTTTTCTTTTAGCAGCAAGACAACCGAGTGTTATATATTTAATTTCCATTGCAGATAACCCCTCTTTTTTATTTCCTAAAATGCAAAATGTAGGACATTTAGGAAAATCAACCTGGAAGGTCTCTGAAAGAGCAGCTGTTACGTCAGACCAGAAGGAATACACTGCAGGACATTCCCACAGACAGTGCATCAGGGTGCCTCTACCACCGCAGCCATGCCAGCATTTGTCTGTCAGTGCAGCATCCATTTTGTTACATT